GACAACAGCAAGTCTTCCTGATGACTGACGTGGAAATCTCTCCATTCGCGTAGCTCCTCTGCGAGATCTTCGCCAGCGCTGTGCAGTTTTTCCATGTGGCGCTTCCATGGAAGACGTACATCCAAGTATCTCCTTTCTGGGAAGTGGGATGTAGATGGGCAAGTGTTTTAATTTCACTTGCCTACTTGTACTCTATGAGAAGTCAGTAGGCTGTCAGATGTTAACCTCGTACCTGCAGCTTGTCATGATGGCTTAGCTCCGGAAGTTTCATTGTCGATCTGTAGGGTTTTCTGCATAGAGAATCAGTCATCTGTGCGCAGACACCACTGTATTCTTTCCTGCCAGTGTGTACACTTCATTCCCTCTATTGTCTAGGATTCCAGGGTGAGAGAGGACACCCTGCCTCATTCTGATCTTGGTGGGACAGCATCCACTTCCTCACTATGAAGTGTAATAGTACGTATTTCGTAGATTTTTTAAATCGAGTGGAGGAGGGTCCCTTCCGTTCCTAGTTTGCTGAGCGTTATTAGCAGGATGGGCATTGAGTTTTGTCAGGTGTTTTTTCTGCACCAGTTGATCTGACCTTGTCTAACCAGAGAGGTGTCGTCTTAGAGCACCGGGCGTGCGGCTGGGCACAGGTTGGCGTGTGTCCGCGATGGCGTGAGCCCGCTGTGAAGACCACGTCTGTTCCGGCTCCCACTGGGCGGACTGGCCTCCCGAGAGTGACAGAACCAAACCCAGGCGCAGGGTCACCCTGGTCGGAGTCGCCATTCTCTGCCGCTGCTGCAAGTGGCGCAATCTGTCCAGGAGATCGGAGGGAACCCTGTGTAATGACTCGGTCGTGGTGTCTGGTCTCACATAGAACAAATGGAAAGGCGAGCACTCCTTGTTCTGGAAAATAAGATGGCATCTCACCAGGGTCCTGGGACGGGGAGGAGAGAGCAGGGGTGGGAGCAGCTGCGCCTGCTCCGTTTCGCTCCATGAAAATCTTCTCCTTGAAAAACGGGCAGGGTTTCTGGTGGAAGATTTCACACGGAAGCTGCACCGTAACGTCCAACTGCCCCTCACCCCTCAGGACCTGCGAGCGAGGCAAGGCCAGCCGAGGTTTTAATTTTGTTAAATTAGCGTGAACCAGGTAAGGACTGGGCAGAGCTTACCGCTTACACAGACGGCCAGAGAGGACTGACACAGACAGACAGACAGACGGCCCAGAGAGGACTGACACAGACAGATGGCCAGAGAGGACTGACACAGACAGAAAGATGGCCAGAGAGGACTGACACAGACAGACGGGCGGCCAGAGAGGACTGAAACAGACAGACAGACAGACGGCCCAGAGAGGACTGACACAGACAGACGGGCGGCCAGAGAGGACTGACACAGACAGACGGATGGCCAGAGAGGACTGACACAGACAGATGGCCAGAGAGGACTGACACAGACAGACAGACAGACGGCCCAGAGAGGACTGACACAGATAGACGGCCAGAGAGGGACTGACACAGACAGACAGACGGCCCAGAGAGGACTGACACAGACAGACGGCCAGAGAGGACTGGACACAGACAGACAGACGGCCCAGAGAGGGACTGACACAGACAGAAAAGATGGCCAGAGAGGACTTGACACACACAGACGAGATGGCCAGAGAGGACTGACACCGACAGACGGACTGACGGCCAGAGAGGACTGATACAGACTGAAGGACAGAGGCCCAGAGAGGACTGAGACAGACAGAAAGACG